ATAACCAGTTTAAGCATGAATAGTACGGATAAAGAAATACAACGATCATAAGTATAAGATTCACTTGCATGTATGACCCGACAACAATGTATAGATACTCGTCACCTCACCTATACGTCATACTCAACAACTAAACATGTAGAAAATAAGGCAACAATACCTAATCCCTCAAGCTAAGGTTAGCCACAACACTTACCTCGATTTCATGGCCTAAATCAAGCCTCAATTACCGCTTTACCTCTCTGTTCCACCTCCAATTCACTCGTATATAGTCATAATTAACTTAATAATATCAATAATCGCTAAAGAAGTCAATTCCAATGCATAATTACAAGTTTCCCAACATTTTTCTCCCAAAAGTCAAAATCGATCCCGGGCCCGCTTGGTCATAACTCGAAGTCCGGACCAAAATCCGATTACCCATTCACCCCCGAGCCCGGATGTACAATTAGTTTTGGAATCCGACCTCAATTTGAGGTCTAAATCCCCAAATTTTAAAATTCCTAAATTCTACCCAAGAGCACCCAATTCCACCATAAAAACCCCTAGATTTTGCGATGAAATCTTGTAAAAAGATGAGATAGATTGAAAGAAATGAGTTAAGAATCATTTTACCTATGATTTGGGGAAGAATTGGTCTTTGAAAATCGCCTTTTGAAGTTTAGGGTTTAATAATTTGAGAAATGAATCAAAAATCCCGTCCAAAATCGTTTGTGAACAGTTGTAGATATTGCATTTGCGATTAGAGGTTCGCAAATGCGAACCCCGCAAATGCGAACATTTCATCGCAAATGCGAAGAATGTCCAGGACTTGCTTTCATCGCAAATGCAAATACTTGTTCGCAGTTGTGACCTGTTCCTATCGCAAATGCGATCCTGAGCTTTGCAATTGCGAAGGTCCCTTCCCAGCCCCACTAATCGCAAATGCGAGCTTTCTTCGCAAATGCGATGCTCGCATTTGCGAGCCAGGCTTCGCATTTGCAGACCTGAAACATACCCGAAATTTTCTTAAGTTTCAAAATACTCTGTAGCCTATTCAAAACTCACTCGAACTTGCTTGTGCGATCAAAAGCGCCAAAATAACACCTAGAACTATGAATTCAACACCAAAACACATGAAATTTTCAAGATAGTTTTAAACTTCCTATTTTCTCAACCAAAGGTCCGAATCACGTCAAATCACTTCCGTTTTTCATCAAATTTTACAAATAAGGTTTAAATATTCTAACTGACCTGTACCGGGCTCCGGAACCAAAATACGGGCCCGATACCAAAAAGTTCAAACATTATTCAATTTCCAGAAACTATTATATTTTCAGTTTAATAATTTTCTTCAAAAATTCATTTCTCGGGCTAGGGACCTCAGAATTCAATTTCGGGCATACGCCCAAGTCCCATATTTTATTACGTACCCTCCGGGACCGTTAAATCACGGGTCCGAGTCCGTTTACTTAAAATATTGACCGAAGTCAACTTAAATCAATAACTATTATTAGTTATTTTGAATGGTTTATGATTGTTTGTGAGGATTTAGGCGTTAGCTACGGCGCCGCGAGGGATCTGCGGTTTTTCTCGAGAATTAATTTGCCTATTAAACCTAGTTTTAACCAATAAACCATTTTATAATATCATCTTTCAAGGAAAAACTGTTCAGAATAATTACTTTCCATGTATTAAGAATTAATGATGTCCCCTTCAGAAGAGCAATTTTATGGGATGTCTCCGAAGGGGCCCTTCAAAATGGGCAAAGTGCACAAATAGTCGATTTTGGAATCACCATTTAAGCCAAATCATAATGTATAAAATTTTATAAATTTAGCCACTTTAGAATTAATTTAGTTAAAAAATTGTTCTGAAATTTGATAGCAATTCCAACATTTTTATTTGAAGTTTGGTTTGCAAAGGCCCATTTTTCGGTATTTTTTCCTGAAGTTTGGCTTGCCAAGGTCAAACTTGCAACAATTTGTTCTGAATTTCATACACTTATGTATAAACTTTCGACATTTTTGTAAACTTCAGGAATGAGTGAAGTTCAAGTTAATAAATTTATGCTCAGAAATAATAATTTGTTCTTCGAATTTTAACAATTCAATTCAACGCTCAAATTTACTTCAAATAAACTCAAATTTGCTCTTAAAAAAATATAGAGCAAACATCAATCAATTATCAAAATAATAACAAATTAAAGAAACCCATTTTATTATCTTCAAGCTTTTCTTAAAGCCTTCAATGGTGATTAATTACTCCATTAGGTCTTATATATAAGAGCTCTTGGAAGAAGAAAATAAGCTTTTCCAATAACACTCACAACACCCACTTAATTTAAACTCATCTTCATATTTAAAATTCAAGAGTCACTTCCTCAAGTTTGAAACAATGGTAATTTTAATTCTGAAAATCCTTAACGGGCTACAAATGCAAATTTTTTAAAAAGATGGCTACGCCTTAAATGATACGTACAAATAGGCTGCCTAGCGAAAATTAGGTGAAATACACAAATAGCCCTCAAAGTGGATAGTGTCAAATTTTTATCCTGCTTGCCACATGAGTAGAACTTCAAATTTAATAAATATTGCCTCTCGCTTGCCCCATGGGCATTACTTTTAATTTTTGACCTTCTATGGGGCAAGCGGAGGTCAAAAATTAAAGAACATCCAAAAAGTGTCATATTTCTGTAATTTCTTGGCGAAATTTCATAATAGCAATTGGGCCTTTAATAATCGGATCGGGCTAAAAAAAAATACAATGGGTCGCAAACAAGGCCTTATGGTTGAGTATTTTCAATACAAAAATTGGCATCCTATAACAACACATAACAGGAATTGGCAATGTTTTAGCCTTATATTAGATTTGGCAAAGATAACCCCAAACAATTTGCATTATATAGCCAAATCTTAAAAAAAACACTCTTTTATATTCTCTAAAAAATAGCTACACGCTTATTTTGGCTTCCCTCCCCCTTTCTCTCTTTGTATTTCTTTTTCTATCTCTTTTCTTTTGCTCTCATAGTTTAGCAAAAAATCTTGCAAATTATTCTAAAAAAATCAGTGTGATGAAAAGGTAAGGTTGATCTCAAATCAGAGAAAATCAGAAGCAAAAACTAAGAGCGGAAAAATATATTTCAACTTTGTTTTTCTTCTCTTTTCCTTTTTTTGGTTGGATTGAATGAGTGGGTGCGATTGAAATTGGTTGAAAAATACCTAAACGAGGCTATATACAAAATTTGAGCAAGATTAGCAAAAATTAAGAGAGAAAAAATATATTTCAACTTTGTTTTTCTTCTCTCTTCCTTTTTGGTTGGATTGAATGAGTGTGTGTGATTGAAATTGGATGAAAATACCTAAACGAGGCTATATACAAAATTTGAGCAAGATTAGAAGTGATTTGGACTGGTTTCATGTAAACAAATCGGACCTAAAAATCCAACTGCGACATGTGTATATCACGTTGCATATCGTGTACATCAGTGTATATCACACACAAGTTTTTAAGGACGTCTGTGTATATCACTTTGTATATCATATATACAACACAATTTTCTATGGACGCCCATGTATATCACATTGTATATCGTATATATAACACAAAATTTCATGGATATACACAGATACACATAATATACATGAAATATCACTGATGTACATAGAGATATACACGGGTTACAATAGGGGATACACATGTGGAGTCATCTTGAACTTGAGTTTTCAATTTGAAATGTGTTATATAAAGAAGAAAATAAAATTTTAATAAATATTTTTGATATACACATTATTATTATGTTATATACAGTGTTATACAAATAATATAATTATTAATTATTGATCAAAAAAGAAAAATAAATTTTTGTTATAGCATGTTTAAGCAAGTTCTAAAATATAAAAATAATATATAAAATTTGAGCAAGATTAGCAAAAATTAAGAGAGAAAAAATATATTTCAACTTTGTTTTTCTTCTCTCTTCCTTTTTGGTTGGATTGAATGAGTGTGTGCGATTGAAATTGGATGAAAATACCTAAACGAAGCTATATACAAAATTTGGGCAAGATTATAAGTGATTTAGACTGGTTTCAGGTAAAAAAATCAGACCTAAAAATCCAACTGCGACATGTGTATATCACGTTGTATATCCTATATACAACACAGTTTTCTATGGACGCCCATGTATATCACATTGTATATCGTTATATTACACAAATTTTTATGGATATATACATATTACACATAATATACATGAGATATCACTGATATACATTGGGATATACACGGGTTACAATAGGGGATACACATGTGGAGTCATCTTAAACTTGAGTTTTCAATTTGAAATGTGTTATACAAAGAAAGAAAATAAAATTTTAATAAATATTTTTGATATATACATTATTATTATGTTATACACAGTGATATACAAATAATATAATTATTAATTGTTGATCAAAAATGAAAAATAAATTTTTGATATAGCATGTTTAAGCAAGTTCTAAAATATAAATATAATTGTGGGAGTAAATAATATTTCGGTATACAAAGAAAATTAATTTTTGATATACATAAAGAAGAAAAATAAACTTATGATATGTATTTTGGTATACACATGTCCGATGTGCTATACACTGTGATATACAAATAATATAATATTTTTATTGTGATATACATTAATATCAAGGCAGCAATAACTATATATATAATTTTATATTATTGATATACAAAGAATAATATTATTTATATACAAAGAATGAAAATAAAATTTTAATATACATGTTGATATAGACAAAGAAGAAGAAAAAAGTTGTGATATACATATTATTATTGTGATATACATTTATTGGCTATTTGACGTCAATATCTATTACTAGAGCTATTTTTTTGCCAATTATATGAATATATTGTTATGCCATGCCAAAACCCCTCAGTTTTGTTTCTTCTATAAAACTGATAAGGAAAATGTCAAAGCTCAATATTTATTAAAGAATAATTTCACTCAGTTAATCTTTCAATAACTCTGAAAAGCCAAATTGGAAATTTTAATAAAATGAATGGAATAACATAAATACATCAATGATGGTATGCACAAAGCAATCAAAATTGATTGATCCAAAAAGAAATATAATAACTATCTAAACCCGAAAAAGGAAAAAAAAATAAGGATTATAATATTTCACTAAGCAATTATCTCATCCATATGACATTCCCTGAGTTTAATCTTTGCCTTGTTTGTTCCAATGTTGTGTGTCACATCACAACACTCGCATCTATCCATCTGAAATAAAAAAATAAAAAGTAGAGCATTAAATATTTTATTTTTTAAATTTTGTAGTTTTACCATACCTAATTGCTCAGATGGTCATCATTCCCGCCTACAACTGTAGTGTCATGAGTTCGAGTCACCAAAGGTGCAATAACTCTAACAAAGGGGAGGGGAATAATTAAAAAAAAAAAGTAAAAGTTTTACAAGAGTTTGTATGGTTTGGATCGTACAAATATATGTATATTTGCATTTAAGTTGACATAACAAGGCAATCTATAAAATCTTTTGATACAAAAGTAAACGCAAACATTGTATCTCAATATGATTTAGAATATATATTATGAGTGACATTTAACTAGTTATAGTAGGTTATTATTCAAACTTTTTAAAATGATTTTATTAGGTATTTTAGTGCGTCAACTTAACCTGATAATGTAAAGAATTAGTGCAAAAAAACTTAAACTATTTCAAATTAAACAGATGATAAAGAACTTACATCTATTCGCTTTCTTCTTGAGGAGTAAACTTCAATCTGGGAGATCTGATCTGCAGAATGGCTACCACTGTATGAACAAGCTGGCAATCCTCGAGGCAATGACCGCGAAAACATAGTAAGAATTTCATTTTTCGTCGATTTCTCTGCAGATTCTAGGAAAAAAACATGAGGAGCTTGACATGAATCATTTGTAGGCAACCTTGTATTTAACAAGTAATATGGAGGATCTTTAGGTGTAACTCCCCATGGTTTAAATGTTTCAATAGGGATTTGTAAATGGCTCCTAGGCAAAATGTTCTCATAAATATGTATTGAGTAACCCCATGATATAGAAAATGACCAGTTATTCGGCCTGTTGTAGCAGATAACTTGTTGTAACATGCGAGATTGATCGAATTTTGCCGCATTCATAAGGTGGTGTACAGATTGAAGTCTTTCCATTGAAGGAAAGATGGGGTTTGCAGCATCTAGATGGTGAAGAGACATCAATGGAGCTTTTGGATGGGATGATAACAAACCCGATATATCACCGCGCAAATCTATCTACAAGTAGAGATAAATATATAAATTTAGAGTCAGTAAATTCAGAACGAATATAGTCTATATCGGCTAAGACTAGAAAATATCCAACTATTTGGCCATAAATAATATTTTAGTGTTTGCATATACTAGCTTAAAAAAAAAAGCAGCACAGTGCATTAAGCTCCCGTTATGCGTGGGGTCCAGGGAAGGGTTGGACCACAATGGTCTATTATATACGTGGGGTTCGGTATATAGTTGCGGACCCAGGATCTTGTGCAAGCGGGTTCAATCTTAGAAGTACATAACTTTAATCGTAAAATAGTAGTTGTCAAGTGGGTTCAAATAAAATATTTATACAAAATTTATGCAACTTTAATCATAATTTATACATATACACAGTATTATTTTTTTATGAAGCGGGTTCAGTTGAACCCGCTTGCCACCACGTGCGTCCACCACTGCTAGTATAGACTACAAGAGTGTAATCCATACCAGCTAAGCCTAGATTATATCTAACCATTTGGCCATAAATAATATTTTAGTGTTTGCAAATACTAGCTCCCGCTATGCGTGGAATCCGTGGAAGGATCGAACCATAAGGGTCTATTATACACAGCCTTACCCTGCATTTCTGCAAGAGGCTGTTTCCACGGCTCGAACAAGTGACCTACCTCCTGGTTACATGGCAGCAACTTTACCGGTTACACAAAGGCTCCCCTTATACTAGTTTGGCAATTAATCAATATTTTTGTGATAATAATAACTTTAGTATTTGAGAAAGAAAATTTACCTGGTGGCTACCTTTAAGAGGAGTAAGATTGACACCAACATCAGATATGCAAACCATAGTAATTTGATCAGCAGATCTCAAGAATGGATATCTCCTCAAACAACTTTCAATATACTTAGACATTGCTTTTGCCAATGGATAACTCAAAATAAATCCAGCTCCACCAAAAGCTTGATTAAATGAGTACCAATAATTCGATAAAAGATACTCTGATTGACCCCCCAAATAGTAATATTTCGTGTGATCATATTGCCCAAGAACATCAACCATATTATCCACAAAAAACACTGAATCGTCATCCCCCATTACCACCCACCTCACCCCTTCATGTTCCTCTCTAAACACCTCCATTATTCCATGTACCATTCGTGCCATAGTTGGCGCGACATGGTTAGTTTCTTGGATTAATTTTGTTATGTTATCGGATACTCTATAAGGCGGGGAAGACGAGGACCATGGAAAAAGATCATCGCCCGTTGGAGCTACATCAAGAAAGAGATAACCGCGCGTTTTATTTGGTCTCCACCATGATTCAATATATTCTTTTCTATAATGCCATGCTTCTTCAGAACCAAGAAGTCCAAATAGTAAATGGCTAAGGTTTGTAGGGTTAGAATCATGACCAAATTGTGAGGTTTTAGATCTTGAGGAATATAAGAGATCAGAAGATGAACAATTGGAATCATTGAAAAGGAAAATTGAAGCAAAGTAAAGAATAACACCTGAAATCAGCACCACTCTGCAAAGAATAGCAAGAAATAACTTGTCAAATGAAACTCTAAGTTTTTCTTTGATTGTATTTAAGAAATTTGAAGCAAATGCAGATGACATTGTTTGGTTTGTTTGAGCAAAAGCAAGAAGGAACTTTTATATCTGTAGCTTAGTCCAAAATGCAAAGTAGTAATAAATTGAAGAATTAGCCTAAATAGTCGTTCACTTAATCTATTAGATTAAAAATAGTCGCCGAATGTATAATATATGAATAATATGTGTGTAACGGTTTAATATACAATTTATGCAAACCGACTAAAAAAAAAGTAAACAGTAAATTTGATCAGCTATTTGTGTAACAATAAATTTCTTCTGTGTTCAAAGTATTATTGACTGACAGGTATATTTGTCATGTTGCAAAGAATCAATCAGTTTCTTTAGTGTGTTTGAAGTATTTTATTGACTAATCATGTGACAATTAAGATTAAATAATTAATTAAGATTTTTGTTGGTTTAAGTCCTTCAAGAGCACACCTATGGAATAGCCTATTAATTGTGGCTGCTAATCTCACCCTGATTTACTATTTTTTATTTATTTTTATAATGGTGGTATAAGGGCAGTTTGCGCACACCTTTATATTTTACTGGATACTTACTGTCTCTTATCGGCACAAATATCATATAACTTTGAGCACAAAAGCTTAGGCAAATAGAAAAAAATCAAGTACTGGGTGGCCCTAATTTACTACTAATGAAAAGAAATATTCCATTTGTTCAATTTTGTATAATACTCTTTCTCTGGTTCGTCTCTATAAAGAATGACACCTTTATATATTTAGAAACTCTTTAAATTTAAACTCCTACTTTATCCTTAATGACATGCTCTACAGTCATAAAAATGGCATGGCATGTCAAAAAACCACAAGTTCTAAGAAAAATTTTGGTACGTGCAAAGAGTTTATCCTTTTTTCTGAAACTTCCTATTCAGTCAAACATCGAATTTATCTTGAATCGAGATTTTTTGGTTCAAATTTATCCCAGTTTACCGAGGGAGCAACCCCATTTTTCACCTTGAATTGGTCAAAATATGTGGTTCTATAAATTAAAAGGAGGAACCACATAACAATATAAGAGAAATCATTTTCATACAGATTCAATAGTCATCAAGTTGAGGCTAAATTCCAATTCTAGTTTTTGTTAGTATTGCCCTAAGAAAAAAGGGGAGGGGCAGCCTGGTGCGGGGAGGGGCAGCATGGTGCACTAAACTCCCGCCATATGTGGGATCCAGAGAAGGGCTGGACCACAAGGGTCTATTGTACACCGTCTTACTCTAAGAAAAAGAGAAGAAAATCATAAAGCTTTAAAAAGAGAGGGAGTAACCGGACAGGGGAAGAAGCGATATAATGGAGCCAACGATCTTCAGAACAGATGATTTCAATGCATTGTTCGAAGCCATGATATTAATCCATCATTTTCTTCAACTTTCTGAACTTTAGAGCAAGAAAAAATAAATTGAAGAAAGAAAAAAAAAAAGATTAAATTTTGCACATAATGAAGAAGAATATGACACAAATCGTTAACTCAGTCAAGAGTTTGTTATGGAAATCCAAGGATGTACCTTAGTAATCGTGTGGTTAGCACTAGAGGCGGATCTAATATCCTATAAATTAAAGAGATAATAGCAAATTTTGTCGCTTAATAGTCGATAAAATTCTGATTTTTGTTCTTGTAATATATGATTAATAAGTTCGTTTAAAATGTGTGTTCTTGGTCATGTTATTATATTTAGACTATTTTGGTTAGAACTTTTATTGCTTTTAAATATAGAGTAACAATACAACTGAACAAAAAAAAATACATTATCAACGCACATAAGTTAAAATGTACTCTATCCGTTCCAATTTATATGAACTTGTTTGACAGGACACGAAGTTTAAGAAAAAGTGAAGACTTTTTGAATTTGTGGTCCTAAACAAGTCAAAATGAGGTCTAGAGTAGTTATAAAGCTTCTCATTAAAGGTAGAATTGAAAGTTTAAGCTAAATCGTTTTCAAATTTAGAAAATGGTCATTCTTTTTGGAACGGACCAAAAAGAAAATAGGTTCAGGTAAACTGGAATGGGGGAGTAGGATATTATCCTAATGGCATCTTGGTTGTTCAAAACGTCAAGTTGATGAATGTTTCAAGTAGGGTCTCCTTAGGTCGCTAGGTGGGAGTTTAGTGTATTTAATCTGAGAAAATATGCCCAAGGATATGATATTTAGTATTTACTCTCCTAGCAAACTTATAGCCCGTTTGGCCAAGTTGCAAAAATTTGCTTATTTTGAGAAATATTTTTTTTTAAAAGTGTTTTTCTTAAAAGTACTTTTGGTGAGAAGCAGTTTGTGTTTGGCTAATTAATTTGAAAAGCACTTCTGAGTAGCAATTAGTGTTTGGCCAAGCTTTAAAAAACTGTTTCTAAGTGTATTTTTCTCAAAAGTGCTTCTCAAAAAAGTGCTTTTGGAGAGAACCTACTTTTTTCTGCTTCTCCAAAACTGCTTTTGCTTTTCCTCAAAAACACTTTTTTCTTTCCATAAGCTTGGCCAAACACCAAAAGTGTTTTTGGCCCAAAAAAACATTTTTGGCCAAAAATAAGCTTGCCAAAAATAAGCTTGGCCAAACAGGCTATTAAGCTATGTAACTTGCGAAAGATACTAAAGAATTTATTTAGGTTTTCCAATGTGCCAAAGATTATGACGAAAAGTAATAAATAAACTGTATTCTATCGAATTATTGCAAGTTGCAAAAAAGGAATAATTTGGGATAAATAAAAAAATGCAGAATAAATTAGTGTAAGTTGTACATCTAGGTTGGCGTATTAAAGGCACCTCTTTCCTAACCACGGCGCAATATAAGGATCTGAGAATCCCTTCCCAAATCCCATTGTAATTAATTTAATACATGATTAACAGAAATTAATTAGGTTTGTAGCCTTGTGATGAACCAATTAGTCTCCGGTTCCCTTGTTATTATCTCAACTAACTCCCTTTCCAAAATTAGTAAAGAAAACAACCCAATGAGCATTAGGGGTGTCCAATCGAATCAGAAAAACCATACCAAATCGAAAAGTCAAATCAAACCGATTAAAAAAATTGATTATATTTGGTTTGATTTAGGTATTGAGTAAAAAAAAATGAACCAAACCGACATATAAATATATAATTTTTATATATACTTTTAAGACTTTTATAGATTTTTCTTTAAAAAATATCAAGAAATATTTGTGATTTTCATATGGGATGTAATATTTAGTTAAATATAAAGTGCTCCATATTTATTAGATTTAAATAATGGATTGAATGATCACTTTTGTATTGGTGAAAATAAAACCATGACACGTGGAATATTAGTAAGTTGACGAAGCATGACGCGAGGAACAACAGTATAGCAACAAGTGGCACTCTCAATTAATTTAATTAAGAATGCAAGGAAGGTGCGGGAGAAACACCCATGAGACAGCACAGAGAAGAGGACCAGGCCTAACAGTTGTCAAAGAGGGGGCATGGACGAAATAAATAAAGGTTAAAATAAGGGAAGATACATGAACCAGAAGTAAATAAGGAAGGAGAATGTCACGATCCAAAATCCACTAATCGTGATGGCACCTAACCCAACCCGCTAGGTAAGCCAACTATACTATCTAATTCCAATAATAATCAATAAGATAGTTTAAACAAGAGAATTATCTAAATCTTATAAATTTTTCCCAAGGACTGATAGTACAAATCATGAGCTTCTAAGAATAGAGTTTACAAAGCTGAGATGAACTAAATACACCTTCTGTTTGAAAAGTACATAAACAGAGTTTTAAAATCTAAGGCTGCCAAGAACAAGAGGCAGCTGCAACGGGGCGCAGGTACATCTTTCAATCCAGTTTCTGTCGAACACAGCAACATCGGCATCTGAAATCTGCACGCAATGTGCAGGAAATGTAGTATGAATACAACCGACCCCATGTACTCAATAAGTAACAAACCTAATCTTAGGTTGAAAGTAGTGACGAGCTGAAACATAGGTCGGGTCCAACACCAATAACTAACAGCAGTTCATAGCAACTTAGAGCATATAAATAAGGAAGTAACTCAGAAATAAAATGCTCAGCTTTCTATCACAGTTTTTTCGAAAATAGTTTCGTTTTTCAAGAATATCAGTGAAAACTTAAATTCTCTACCGACATTGCCATAAAATATGAGATAGTTTGAAAACTGTAAATCTTTCTAAAAATCCTTTTCACAATAAATAAGATGTTTCATTTTCTTTCCAGATAGCAAGTATGAGATACCTCCTATGACCACATATCAATGCATGTAAAAGTCATGAATGACGTGATACCATACAACATGAGAAAAATGTGTCTCTATGCATGTATGTCATATATGCATGCCAATGCCATGTATCTTAGAGATGAATCATGTACTCACACTCTCAGAGTACGCAATCTTAATGTCTCACACTTTCCACTCATCATGATCAACCACTCGATATTGTATATGGCATATACGGCCCAGGAAAATCCATCCTAGAACATATACAACACTGATTATAAGTCATCCAGTACCGAGAAAAAAGGGCAGTCCAACCCTGTGGAGAAATCCATCTCCGGATATCAAGTACTTCTGACAAATCCATGTCCAGGGAAATTCATCCCTCAATAATATCATCCGCGCTCACTAGGGGTGTGTACAGACTTCGGAGGGGCTCTTTCAGTCCAAGCGCTATCATAAATCAGTATAACTGCTGCGGCGGGAAAGAAAATTAAGGAACCCGCAAATATTGAAAAAACTACAATTATTGTTAACCAAGGAAAATAATTCGTAGTAAAGACAAGATACACTTGGACCATAAAAACCCTTGCTCAAAATATTGTGATTTTCGAGCACAGGTTTGTCGGTAAAAAGAATTAAATGGATTCAAGTAGAGTTTTCTCGAACGTATCCCGATCCTATAACTATCACTCATAATCATGCTCTCGGCCTGACTCAGTCATCAATCTCTCCAGTCTCACCCACGGGCTCACAATGTCATGAAAGCTAATCCAGGACAATCATATGATGTATCAATAAATAACAACTGAGACTAATATATGATATGAATGCATAAATATGACTGAGTACAAAATATCAATGAAATCAGTGAGATGACAGCAAGCAACGACCGTTATGGGTCCTAACAATATCAACATAAAACCTAAACATGATATCTAGCATGATTGATAGTTCGGTTACTTTATCACATGGTGAAAATACAGATATCAACAAAGTAGTGCCACTATACGGTGCCATAGAAATAATGGAGTCACAATTCACAGGGTGCACGCTCACACGCCTGTCACCTAGCGTGTGTGCCACCTTAATACCGATCACACAACACGTAATTTGAGGTTTCATGCCCTCAACACTAAGTTTAGAAGA